ATACTATACATAGATTACTATTACCAACTGAAGTACCACGTACAAACATGATACTATACATAGATTACCATTACCAACTGAAGTACCATGTACAAACATGATACTATACATAGATTACCATTACCAACTGAAGTGCCACATACAAACATGATACTATACATAGAATACCATTACCAACTGAAGTACCACATACAAACATGATACTATACATAGAATACCATTACCAACTGAAGTACCACATACAAACATGATACTATACACAGAATACCAGTACCAACTGAAATACCATGTACAAACATGATACTATACATAGTTGACTATTACTAACTGAAGTACCACATACAAACATGATACTATACATAGTTGACTATTACCAATTAAAGTACCACGTACAAACATGATACTATACATAGATTACCATTACCAACTGAAGTACCACATACAAACATGATACTATACATAGTTGACTATTACTAACTGAAGTACCACATACAAACATGATACTATACATAGTTGACTATTACCAACTAAAGTACCACGTACAAACATGATACTATACATAGAATACCATTACCAACTGAAGTACCATATAAAAACATGATACATCCAAACAAAAACATAAAACTGTATCTTAATAGGACAGTAATCCAATTCATCTGTCATGCACAGTTTTTAAATAGTTACTAAACAAAATTATGTTACAACTTTGTTACTAAACAATAGCATATTCTTCCTGTTACCATATTTAGTAGTGTATATTACTAAAAGTCAACATTTGGCATGTGCTAACTGTTATGTTATCATTAACAAAGAAATATACTTTAAAGTTGATAATCTGTAAGTTTGTAATCAGCTTCACTCACTATTATAAAGTTCTCACTGGCTACAATGTTGTTTGTTGGTTTTGGATATCTACACAAAGTTACACCAGGGCCATCTGCTAGTCTTCCTGGATTTTAAATGTTGATGGAATACAGCAGCCACTTCCAACTTTTGGGCTACTCTAATCAACTATTGGGATTTGACTGACTCTTTTATAATGTACTCATATTCTTAAAGTGTGGAGTATGATTTTGTGGTAATGGGACCCAAACCATGAACCTTTGACTCCACAGTCTGATACACTAATCAATATGCTACAACTGGCCCCATTGGTAATAGGAATACTATACTTTGTTAAGACATGTCACACGATGTCTGACAAATTCTGAATTTTCGTTGGATAGGTATTATTTTTGTGTAATTTGAAAGCCACCTAGTGGTAGAACCTACATATTCCTCTGTACAAGCACATGCAAATTTACAGATAACAAATGATTCACAGGTATTACATTTTTAAAATGAAATAATTATGCACTTAATTTCAACTTGTGATACACTATGTTTAAAGTTAAACCAATTTCTTTCTTACATACTTTTGTTGTTGCCATAAATAGGACATTACTACTGAATTATACGGTATGTCAAACTTCAAGCATTTAGGGGTGGTCAGTATATTTAGCATTTCATTCATGATGTTAGAAAAACATGTAGGTCCAAAAAATTCATTTAACATAAAAACATGAAACCATATAACCCGTGAGCTTTGGAAAGGTCGACCTTTCATCTTCAGCAGCAAACTAGGACTGACCATGTAAAGCATTTCCTTGATATTATTATCACTAAAAGTACTATCAAATTAAGTACATATCTAAAATGTTTAATGCACTTTATTTCATTATGTAAATCCGAATAATTACTT